GGCCTGAGGCATATGCAATACCAAATCAAGAAGCTACAACTGTAGCTTCAGATATTAGTGATTTCTTCAGATTTGGTATGCCATACGAACTGCATTCAGATCAAGGCTGTAACTTTGGATCAGCTGTGTTCCATGAATGCTACTAGTTGTTTGGAATAAGAAAGACTAGGACAATGCCACTTCACCCTCAGTCTGATGGGATGGTAGAAAAGTACAATTGGACACTTGGACAGGAATTGGCAAAGAATGGCTGGGATGTCTTACTCCCTCCACTGTTGATAGCCTATAGAACAGCAGAGCATGAAGCCACTGGATAAACTCCAGCGAAGTTAATGTTTGGTTGGGAACTTTGGTTGCCAGTGCATCTAATAACAGGATGCCCACCTTACGAAGAGTTGCCTGAAAATGTTTCAGAGTTCGTGAAAGTGTTATCTGAAAGGATGGATGATATTCACCATCAAGTGCTTTCAAACATGAAAACGTCTGATGATTCTATATAAGGAGACAAGGTGTGGTTGTATAATCCCAGGAAGACCAAAGGGAAGTCTCCTAAGTTATCTTCTCCATGGGAAGGCACATACGACATAGTGGATCACCTCTCAGACGTGACTTTCCAAATAAAATGTGGTCGGCGAGGTAAGCCAAAGGTGGTGCATGCCAACAGGCTTTGGCGTTAACATGGTCCAGGACATTTCAGTTGGAACGAAGTGAGCAACGGAACAAATGATGCTGCTGAAGACGTGTCACCTGAAAAAACCACTGTCGAAGAAGAAACTCTACCTGATTTTGAGAAGGGAAACAATGAAGCCCTTGATGAAGTTACTACCACTGATGTGACTGTTACCGAAAATATGACATTTCCTGATGGAGCAGATGAATCCCACATGAAGTAGAAGCCAGTGAGACAGAGACCAGTACGAAAAAAGATACGTCCCGTAAAAGAGACTTTGTTGAATTTTAATTTTGTGTTTGTAAATTCTGTACATTTAATTAACCATTATTATTCAGCAGACTATCTGGTAATTTATCTATTTGTGAATTTCTTTTCTTCATCAAAATGTGAATAATAATGGACAATTAATTGTGATGGTATGTCACATGTTATCCAAACATCTAAAGTATTTTAGGTTAGTATTGCTGAGTAATCAAACTACTTATATTCCACCATTATGTGAAGCTTGTTTTATTTATTTTCTTTGCCCTTCCAAGCAGCACTGATGGATCTGTAAATTCAGCTAAACTAGTTTACTAGTCTGCTGCAGTGAAAGTTGGAAACCAAAAATAGATTAGGCTTCTCCATTATTTTTTCTTGATGAAATTCACGTTTAGTTGTTATATGATAACTTTTCTTATTCAGTGAGTAATACCACCTGAGAAAAACAACTCATTAATTAACATCAAAATAAGTCTTTGCATGCCACAAAACTAAATACAAGTATAAGAACAACATGTACTTTGAGAACTTACGGTAATATAGACAGACTTCCCAGTGCCTGTGGGACCAATAAGTAACGTAGGTTTTTCATGAGATACCAACAATGACAGCAAGGTTGTGTAACAAACAGTGTCAATAGTAGGAACAATGATCTGGTGAACTTGTGCCTCACGAGGGATAGGTGGCACTTCTTCCAGTTGATCCTGCCACCTAGTCCATTTTCCATTCTCACCAGCCTGGTAAAAAAAGGTTTTTATCTTGCATGTTTTTTTTGAAAAAACATCTACAAAGAAGTAAAAAAAAAATTAGAATAACACTTTCATAATGATGAAATGAAGATTCTTTGCTTTGCTAATTAAATATTTTAAATTTAACTCTTTCTGCATCCTTTGCTAAATTGCTTAAGTATGTTTTTCATTAGCTACATCCAGTTTAAATTACCTGCATTCTTGCTGAAGTTCAAGCACTGTACCTGCAGAACACGATATGATATAGAACTAGGTTATTGTATGTTTGTGTTAGATATGAAACAGTAATATGACTCTAAGGAGACATGCAGTTTAATTTGCTTTATCAGAATTCCAAACTGGTAAATAAAACTGAATGTTGGGACCCATGAAAGATTTTTTGAAGAGCACATTAGGTGTGAGTGGTTAATTATAAAATTCAAACAGTAAATTTTAAGAAGAAACATTATAAATATAAAACATAATGTTCAAATAATTTTGGAAAGACAATATACTATATAAAAACTAAAACCACATTAGTATGCTGAAGTTAATTATTAAGTAAGTAAAATTAACCTTCTATTACCTGATTTAATTTATTGAAGGGTTTCTTGATGTTTATTTGCTGGTTACATACTTCTGATCAAAATTATTGCCAGATGTTATATTTGTTGAATTTCTTGTAAAACTAATATCTGTGCTAGCTGTTCCTAATTTTGAAGTGATAGATTAGAAGGAAGGCAGCTAGTCAACATCACCCACAACCAACTGTGATTGGTAGGTTTAGACCATCACTTTTATAATACACCTTCAGCCCTAATATGCAGAGCATGATTTTATTTTGGCAGTAACAGAGCACAAACCATGGAATCTCTCATCCAAAGTATGGCACCTTAACCACTTGTGCTCATGTCACTACAGAAAAAATAATTTATAAGAAAACAGTAGCAAGTATAACTAGAGATAGAGTTAATATGAATCACAATTTAAATAATACACAAATGGGTTATCAGACTAACTTATACATCATACTATCTATTAACACACTTTTAATTTTAGGAATTGCATAATTTGCTGCTCAATTGATTATTATGAATTGTTTATTAGTAGAAAAGTTACTTCTCCTAAATTTAAAAGTATATTGCATAATTTCGCATATTCATTGAAGTTTTTCATTTTGCATAATCTATCCACAATGATACGAAGTGATAATCATACCAGTACAAGTTTTCAGTCACTATCTTAATTAGAAGTAAGTCATAAATTTAAATGAAAAAAAAAGTTCAAGTGGTTACCTTTCTGTCAAATTTGTAGCTAAACACTGTGTTTTTTGAGGGTATTGGTTGTTTCAAATCAAATGGAATTTTTTTATTGCTCTCAACTACCATCTCTTGGATTTCTTTAGACAAAGTCCCCTATGAGAAAAATTATTCGTTAGTTTAGTATATCTACTGATTTACTTTCTGTTGCATCAAATGTTATGACATATACTGGAAGGTACTTCCAATATATCTAGAGTCATCATGTTGTATCTAAAATACTATGAGACTTCAATATTATTACATGATGATTTAGGACATGAGGGAAAGATTTAGTATCTCTTATATCAGACATTATTTGAATAAGGTAAAGTCATTAAATATAAAACAGTTTAGTATTGGATATTTCAGTTATCTTGGCAGATAGGTAAGTAGTTAAACTAATCTAATGATGTACTTTGTATTACATAAGTGAAATATTTTGATGTTTTCTGTAATGTTGGATTATTATTTTCCATTACAAAATTCATCCTTCAAACACAAAATAACATCATGGTGAACTAACGAAGACCTGTAGTGTTAGTGCTCAAGATGTGAATTCATAAATTTGTCTTATCTGAGTCCACTGTAATCTTATTAACATTAACACCTGCAATTTACTTATTTGCCATTAAAGTTATAATTTTCCTAGAGTGAAAATGTATTTCCAACAGGTAGTTACTTCCACTCACAAGCATAGCTATTCTTGTTCAGTGCTGCCCTCTATTTGTAACATTTTTTTACATGCCACAAATCTTTCACTCCCATGCACTGATTTTTGCATGCAAATTATCATGTGACAAACCTCCACCAATACTAATGCCAAACACCCATGTGACTCCCTCTATGATATTCTACCTAACTATCACTTCGAGTTTAGACAGAAATGTAAACACCAGTTGACAATGGGAGGAATGGTGGGAAGTGTGAGCAGAAGTAAGAACCTGTCAGAAATACATTTTTAGTGTAGGAAAATTATAACTTCTGACAAGGTATCTTAGTTCCACTCATATACATAGCTAGAATTCGACATTAAATAAGTGGAGGGACTAGTGCAAAGGAGAAAGTAAAAGGATCCCTGAAAGTGTCCAAAGGATACCCTCTAATAACAGGATTATACATGGGAGACCACACCACTTCTGTACCAGGTATACTCTTTGTCCGGATGTAGTGTGACAGATCTGGACAGAAAATTATTATCTGGAGCACATCCCAATGAGAGAGTGATCCTAACCACAATATATTAGAATTTCAATCTCCCTGATGAACAGAATGTGGGTAAAATAAAGGATATGCCACAAGATGTAGAGTGGTTAGGGTGCGACAGACTGTACACTGCATTCAAAACTCAATCACTAGGAATGACATCCATGCAGGGTAGGAAAGAGGTACATATCGTCTTCACCTCAATTTCAGCTTACTGGAGGGAGAAATCCCACCACCGATCTGTGAACAGAAAGAAATACATATATATATATATATCCCACTCAAGTCAAACAGGCCAGAACCACCTCAAAGGCAGTAATATCCTTGGCATAAACACATTAAAGGATAGTGCAAGAGGAAGAATCGGAGCAGCCAACAAGTGCATCCAACATGATCACAACATTCTACTCTATACTGAATGCAGTCTTTATTCTTTTTTGATAATGAGGAATCCACTTTTTAGAAAATAAAAGTCTTGAGACAGCTTGACTGGGTGATGAAAATATATTATTACCTCACCTAAGGATGACAAAATCTTGTCAAAACGTCATACATTTCTAATAGTTTTTTCAATACTTAGTCAAGGAGTCTTTATTGTTTATATTGTATATCTTTCATTCAGGAGGATGCCTCCATGCTCCACCACCCCAATGCCTTGGAACTGGAAAGTAGTAAGAACTCTTTTAATCCGCTGGAAGAAATGGGGGGGGGGGAGAAGTGGAGAATCCAGAGGAACGTTCACACCGGAGACAGTGCAATGGGTTACCATGAAACCCTATTTTGAAAAGCAGACCAAACCCAAATTATTCAATGTAAGGAGTGGCAGGGATGGGCAGCAATCCCCTTCTGCTTTACCCATGAAGTCAATGGGTTGGTATGCTTTAGAACGGGTAGATTTATGAAGCAAATATATTGTGAGGAATAACCTATTAGCAATATTGTGGAACACCCCATCTCTAGTTTATGTGACTGTAAAGAATAATGTGAGTTTTGTGGCCAAGGAATTATGAAATTGAAGTTAACATGGCCTTAGATTGAAGATTTTAGTACAATTCTAAGTGATCGAAGTATACCTGGACAGACACCACTCACCACAGAGGAGGATTCTGGTCTAAACATGGGACAGGCCCCTGAAAAATAATATATATAACAAAAGAAAGAAAATTTACCCACTTACAGTCTCACCAAAGAGTGGAGGATGGTGACAGGTGGAAGATGGTACCCCACCGAGAAAGAAACAACTACCCAAAGCAGATAATTCGAGATGAATGTATGAGGTGTTGTCCCAGTGCTTGAAAGAAGCACTTCCAATGGATGAAGGGGTTGAGATGCAGGTAAAAGGTAAGGTACCTGATTGGAATGAAGACACCAGAAAAGCCAGAGTATTAACATGGTAAGACATTTAGTTCATAGACCATTGTACTGAAGCCTTCTGCTGATCAACCCATGCCCCAAACTTTGGAGAAGAGCATCAGGCAAGAGAAACAAATCTGGATGAGGGGGAGGAAGTGGTAGGTCTGATGACATAGGGGATATGTTAAACCACCAATGCATATAGTCAAAGAGGGAAGGGGGGAAAGTTAAGAGGAGAATCAAAAGGAACCCTACCATGGGTCATGCAGCATCTCCTGAAAAGATGGCAAATGTGCCAGACCCAAAGGGTGAAGTGCTTCCATAGAAGTCATATCTCCCAATGCGTTAGAACCTCGCTAGCAGTAAGACAGTTTAATTGTAATGGTGGGGATAACACAAAGCTGCAACGAATACATTCAACGTAACTGGGTGTGTAAAAAGACACTCCCCAAATAGACAGTTGTTTGGTAGGTAACAGGAAAAACTCATCCAACTGGAAAATCCAACCACCTGAGAATCAATTGAATATGTTATGACCACCCTGTTCAGTAGGAGCTAACCACAGCCAGATGTCCAAGCAGTGGTGTTAGTAAAAAAACCCAAAATGTAGAAGTCAGGTAATCATAAACCCCATATGGAACTGAAACAAGACCAAAGGGCAAAGCACAAAATGGTACCAAATTATGTGGGGAAAAAAACCTAAGATAGGATAGTGTTCAGAGAAATGCAAATAAGAACACTGACCATGGACATTTTCAGTCCTGCAGAAATTTTCTACTCGATTGTTATGAAAGATTATATATTAAAGAGGGAAAGAACCAAGAAGTGATTGAGGCTGGGCCAATCAATCCAAAACTCCAATCAGCATTAAGCATACACAAAGGTATGATGAGTATAGGACGTGAATGTGCCTGGACATGTAATATGAATAAATGTGGCAATGTCCTAGAATGAAACAAAAACAAACCAAAATAAATATAATATAGTGTTGCAGAAACCCCATGTGGTGCTAAATGCATAGGAGTTACCCAAAAAAATGGATTGGTGAAGAAAAAGAGCCAACAGTAAGTACCTGTTAGAAGTGGATGGTAAACAAACAGTTCAAGACAGTATCCCACCTCAGAAGAACTCAAAAGCAAAGAAGCCACGTGTGAAGGGAAAGAACTGAAGATGGCAAACACCCCAACATGGAGGGAATGAGGAGGAGGTGTCCCAGGAAAATCCCCTAGATATAGGTGGAATGCCTAAGAAAGGAGATGGAAGGTAGACATTTCCTGTAGGAGAGTTGACAAAGTAAGACGAAGCTGAAAAACTAAGTGGGGAATAAAGTGGATAGGCTGAACAGAGACTGCCACATACAGGCAACAGACTCTAAGTACACAGAATCAAGAAGAAAATCTGTGTGATGGTAAGCTAAGACAAAATGAACCAAAACCTGTGTAGGACGAGGCATGCAAGTACCAAAAGAGAGACAAAAATGCTCATCATGAAACATAATGTTTGGAGAAGGAGGGGAACAAATACTGTGAAATGTGTCTAAAAAAGGCTGAGGTAGGCCTAGCAGATTCCACAGTAGAGGCCTTGGAAGGCAAGCCATAACCAGGTAGAGGAAAACTGACAAAATTTAGGTTATCCTAAATGGGTTAAACAGTTGTAGGAGGAAGGAGAGCAATATCAAGAAAGGTAGATTGGCCCCCAGCCACCAGGATCCACACAAACTCAAATAAATGTAAGAAGCATAAATCATGGAGAATTACAAAAATAGTTGATATAAGTTAAACTTAAGTTTAAGATACCTTAAGATATTTAACCTAATTGTCAATTTACCCATAAAATGAATTATGGGTAAACTGAAAATAACAGACATTTGTTGTGTCTAATAGAACATGGCAAAGTATATCACTAAGATCTAATATAAAAAAGCCCTAACCTAACAATAAGTATGTACAATATCAGGAGAAGAAGTCTGTGTGGACCCTGGCTCATGGGGTTCATACAGAACAAAGGTAAGATGAAGTATAAAAAATAAAGAATAACGAAAATGAAATTGATGTTATATTATAAAAATAAGTAAGTGTGTATTGACAAGAACATATATATCAGATGTGATGTATTGAAGAAAAACAATATAGTTAACCTGATTTATGTTATACCAATAATAGTGGGTTTCAGTGATTTTTAAATAATGACAATGTAGTCCCATTAATGTCCATCCATTTGAAACTCATACATATGTATTCATATTATATGGATAAATAAAATGAAAATTGTCAATAACCAAATGTTAATAATGAAGTATGAGCTTACCTTATGTACCAATGAAAGAATAGATGAGACTTTGTAATCACATTGGTCGTAAACTTGAAATACCATAATTGACAGATACGTAACAGTGGTAACGTCTACCCATTCTCTGTCATGTCATGATGTAATTGATACATCATTCATAGCCACACCCAATATGACATATAGCACACTTTTGTCAGGACAACATAGTCCGCTCACGACCAACAATATGACATAAAACAACATGTTGCCAGGGCAACATATAGGCTGTTTACAATCACCATTCATTATTTTTTGACATGCTGTTGGTTCAACTTAGGCATACATATCTATGTATCGGTTTATGCTTCATGTAGTCTGCAACACCAAGTTTATTGAATATCCTTGTTTCTATCAATTAAATATTCAATGACAAAAAGAATTTACAATTTTGTAAAAGCTTTCTTTGTGTGTTTTCAAATAGTAATTGCTCTGATCCAATGAAACTGGCCAGAACAAAGTAGAGTACGATGAGAACTATAATTTGATGTATTGCTGGTTGTTATTGGTCCAGCTAATTTGAACCAACACCCTGGTTTCGGTTTTAAAATTCACCTACTGGTCGCTGACAAATGGCACACAGTGGCTTTGGCGATCATCATGATGTTTTGTAAAGCCACTTTCAAATTCATGGGAATATGGTTTCCTTGAAATAAATCATGCAAATTCAGCATGTAATAGTGCTGTAGATGTTTTCCATTTGTTGTTTGGTGTACAATAATCAGTATTTTATTTATGTGAGATTTATATATTCACATGCTTCTGTGCCCGGGAACTATAATTCTCTGGGACTCCCCACTAGTAAGATGAATTACACGTAATCCTAAAATAAGACCCATGTTAAGCCTAATCTAACATTATAGGACAAAGGATACAAATAAGCTTTAATTTCAAACCTGAACTTGACTGTTAGTACTGACCAATCTAACTAAACTTATGCTATTGAACCCAAATAACTACAGATAATAATATTAAAAGTAAAAATATTCAAAACCATAACAGTATAATGTCTTATCTTTCCAAAGTCATCACACCATATTTCAAAATATGTGGGCTCAGTTCAGCTCAATAATCTACCGATGAAAACTTGTTGAGAGAAATTGATACAAAGATATATAAAAGAAAAAAACTTGAAGAGAGCATAAACTAAACATCTGAACATGTGCACTACCAAACAAGAAGTTATAGTTAGGTAGAATAGCATAGAGGAAGTCACGTGTATGTGTGGCACTACTATTGGTGGAGGTTTGTCGCATGATAATTTGCATGTGAGAATTAGTTAAACCATGTGAAAGGCTTATGGTATGCGAAAAAAATTTTTGCACATAGAGAGCAGCACTAAACGAGAATAGCTATCTATGTGAGTGGAGGTAAGGTACCTTGTCAGAATTAAATTTTCTTTGAAAAATGTTATTTGAGTTTGGCTTAGTTTCTTTTGAATTTTGCACAAAGCTACACAAGAGCTATCTGCACTAGCAGTCCCTAATTTAGCAGTGAACATCTAGATGGGAAGGCAACTAGTCATCACCACCCATCTACAACTCTTAGACTACTTTTTACTAACAAATAGTGGGATTGACCATCACAATATAACCCCCATCAGTTGAAAAGGCAAGCATGTTTGGTGGGATGGGGACTCGAACCCGTGACTCTCAGATTGCAAGTTAAGAGCCCTAAGCACCTGGCCATGCCAGGCCAGGTTATTTGAGAACCAAATAATTCTTACATTTTACTTTACTGTCATATCATTAGTACCTGACATTTTATTTTATATTAGTTATTCAAAAAATTTTCTGTATTATATTTATATATGAAACAACATGGTTATTGAACCCATGTTGACAAATGTTTATAAAATAAGGGAACAAAATTTCTTGCTTATAAAAGAATCATTACTTTTTATAGTTTTTACAAAAATATCATTATTCTATAATTACAGGAGATAAATAAAAACATTTACTCATATGTACATTGCTGTCCCAAAATTAAATAATATTGATTTATATTAAGATTAATATTAAAAGTGTATTGAAGCTAGGAAAAGAAACAATTTCTACTGTTTTAGTTACAGGAAAACTTATGATAAAAATTCAATCAATTCATTTACATCTATGTCAAATGATTTATTATTTTGTGTACTTAACTACATTGAAAAAGAGGTGACAGTTAATGTGGCTATCTACTTACCAAATAGGTTTAAAAATACAACTAGAAACATATAACAATTAAATAAATTATGTCAATAACTAACCTCCATTAATTCACGAAAGATCATATTGAATGATTTTCTTCCAGTTTCATTAAGAGTTCCACCCAATGACCATACAGCAGAGAAGAGAAAAAAACACTGTCAAAAAAAAAGATGCTGTCAAGTATACCGGTTTCTGAACTTTAAAGGTATTACAGCAGAAACCAAACAGGTCCTTTTGAAATTGTTTAGTTTCTGTAGTTACTCACCTTTGGAGATGTAAGAAATAAGATGATAATGATAATGTAATGATTGGTTCTCAATGTATCTAAGATGCTCTAGTAAACCTCTTGAAAAGACTTCACAGTTTCTATTGTTATTGATCATCACACATATATAAGCATATGCTTTAGATGATGATTGTTTGATTTATTTCAGATATTTTGATAAACATTTTTTGGAAAAGCTCTTTAGTTCCGTGGTTACTAACAAAGACATGAAACTATGGTGATTACTGTTGAATCTATTTAGAATGTTTTGTGAACTTTTCAAAGTGATAATATTCTTTGATTAACTATTACATATAAATAAATCCAGCTGAAAAAGAGGCAAGAGCTAATTCTTAATTTATCTATGTTTGTGGCAAACTTCTTGAAGCGATACTACAGTTTCTGTAGTTCTTGACTGTTAAAAAGGAAAATGTCATATCACAGACTGTTATAAAAGCTACGTCAGACATAATGACCAAAATTATTTAAAGCTCTTTATAAGTTTTATACTAAAGAAAAAATATCATAATCAAATGTTACCAGGTAATAATTCTAAACATATGACTCACTTTTTAAGACAAAAAAGTAGCCTACTTGCTTAACCTACACAATTAATCTCTGGCCTCAGTCAGTGAATGAGCAAGCTCTCTTCTATTTGGAGGTTCTGTTCATCATTGGCCCTTGCTAAGATATTAAAACGTTTGAATAGATGGCTATGTTACATTTACCTAGGGCATGTTCAAGTAAATTTAATTTACTAGAGGTTCTTAAGTTAGCATATTCTTTCATTCATGTTAATTATATTTTTGTGGATCTGAAGAAAAATAATATTCTTGATTAACAACAGTATTTGAACATTAGGTCATCAGGTAGTCATCCAGGTTTTTTAAATGGTTTACCTAAAATTAATAATGAAGGGTGTCCTATAGTTTTTTAACATTGGAACTTATTCCCATGCTTTATCTGTTTTTTGGTTGAATTTCTGAGGTGTAATGAATACAGTTTGAAAGAGTTTTGAATTTTCTAATGAAATGCAACAGTTGGAATGTGATTGAAATTTTCATTGTGCCAGCTTTGATGTTAAATTGCTGTATACAAATATATCTTTAGAAGAAACTATACAGCTAAGTACTGATTTGATTTTCAATGATAATTCTAGTAATGTGACTATTCCCTTATCTGTTTTTCTGGAATTGATGAACTTTACTACTAAAGGATCACACTTTGTTGTACATGGCAAGTCTTTGAATCAAATCAATGATATTACTATGGGTTCAATACTACACCCTCTTTGTCCAATCTATTTAAAATGATTATGAAAAACAAGGGTTAGAAAATTGCCCACAACAGTTTAAACCCATCTACTATCATAGGTACATAGATGTTACATTTACCATCTTTAAGATATCTGATCAATTTTCCAATTTCTTCAATATTTGAACAGTACACATAGTTCACTGTGAAATATCAGCAAAGTCATAGACTTTCATTTCTGGACACTTTGATTAGTAATAATAATGGTCACTTCCTAGGTGAATGTGACATAGCCACTCATTTAAAGAGCCAATGATGAACAGAACCTCATAATAAGAGAAAGATTACTCATTCACAAGCTGAGGTCAGATATTAATTGTGTAGGCTCAGCAAGCAGGCTACTTCTAGCATTACTAGATAAATATTATCAACAAAAAGAAGTTCCCTAACCTCTAGCCACATACACACAGTGTCTTCAGAGATGTCTTTCATTACTTTCTCATCTTTTATGTCATCTAACAAGCAATCCATAAGGTTCATTAAAGACATGACTCGGTTGGCTTCTGTGGTAGGGGACAGCTCCTGTTGATATAGATGGTGATAATACCTACTTTTACTTCAGTGTATTTAACTGTACTCTTATTTGAAAATAAATTACTGCATTTACAGGAAAAATTAAGATAAGCATATATATTAGAAAATTAACATTAGTGTTAACACTAAAATTCTGACTGCACATTATATGAATAGATTGTTAATATGAGATCATTAGATGGTATAAGCACAGTATCAACACTAGCACTAAGCTCTTAACTGTATGTTCAGTGCAAATTATTAGTATAAAATGATTGCATCTAGTATTGAAATATTTCTGTATGCTTAATGAATATCAATAAAAGTTGACTGCATGCTATTCTAACATATACACAAAATTCTTCATTTTATACTCTGATTGTGCATTCAATGAAAAATATTATAGTAGTTGAATGCATCTCATTATAACCCATATAAAAACCCACATTACTAAAATATTAAATGTATACTAAAGAAAAATTAATGGTTAAATGCATGTCAACATAACCAACAAGATCTTTTCAAAAATCTTTACTGCAAATTGAATGGAGCTCACTACTGAAAATAACATCACCACTATTACTAACATCTTCAAAATATATCTAACAAATATTAAAAGCATTGATTGCATACAATTTCAATAACAAAAAATAAAAGTAATAAAATACTTATGTATACTCAATGAAACTGACTAGTATTCACTGTATGATCACATCAATATGATCAATATCAATACTAGAAGACCATGTTTTATATATCAAATGTGAATAGAAAGATGAAAATTAAAATAGTACTTGATACATTTTCCAATAATGTACATAATAATGCAAAATTCTATGAGTTCTTATAAAGATAAGATATTGTACAAGTAATCTACCTCATGAAGATTTCTAAATGTAACGTTTAATTCAACCATAAAGATTTCAGAAAAAAATGACAATACTTATAAAAAGGATGAAAAAAACAATATTTAATTCATACACAAAAAGATCTGATGATCACAACTAGTCTTCCTTATGAAAAGTTCTCATGATCAAATATTACTTCTAGATGAATTTTGTACCTATGCCAAAGCTACAAAGGATATCTGCCCCTGTCCCTAATTTTGAACTACCGACCAGAGGGAAGGCAAACAATTAGTGGCCCCTACTACCCATCATCCAAGTTAAGACATTGTTTTACAATAATCAAAATTTAATCTATGCATGAAGATATGAAAAAGTGTATTTATTTTACTTATGAGGGATTCTAAAGAGTAAGAATTGTTTTACTTATAGAAAATTGCAATAAGTGAAAATTCATCTTATTTTAGAAAAGCAGTTTATATTTCCTGTAAAAAATCAAAGATAATATTCTTATACCTGCAGACAATAGCCAATGAATAAAATTACTGTTATCCACTTAATTATTCATATAATATTCTTCCATTTTTCTACTGATGAGGAGTGTTTGTTTTCAAATAAAACATTTTATTACTGATGAAAAATTTCAAAAGCAATATTTCATTGATAAGAACAGCAAACAACAAATATCTTATTAATGAAGAGTTTTAAGGGACAACTTTTCATTAATGAAAAGTTTCAAATAAAAGATTTATCTAATTTATGAAGCCCTCCAAAGAATATTGTTACGCCTCCAGTCGTTAGTTAATTTTCCGTAATTTCATTTCAACGAAACTTTAGCGACACAAGTCCTTTCTTAAATAAAACTGGTTTATTCTTTCCCATTTACCAGGTCATCACTTTCGCATCTGCAGTTTCCCATCTCCGGACAAGAATACCATCTTCAAGCCTCAACTGGTCCCATTGTGCCCAATAGTTCTTTGTCACAGGGCTTAGACTAGACACCTTCTCCCAAGCAGGGCACAAAACACTTGTTTTTAGGAA